TGTGTGAGGTCACCATGAGTTAGAATCAACTTGATAGCAACTGGTTTACTACCTTCAAAAGATCTACTATGATATTTCAGAAGGAGTCCTGGTGTAGGATTAGCATCGATAGCAAAGTTGGTAGTTCAAACTCACCAGCTGCTCCTTGGAAATGTTATCCAGGGTCTCTATGAGTTAGAATTGACTCCAAGGGACTTAACAAAAACAACAGTGATACATTAGGAGTCTTGGTGTGGTGCTGTAGGATAAGTACTGAACTGTTAACCACAAGGTTGGTGGTACAAACTCACCAACTGCTTCTCAGAAACCCTATTTACGGTTGCTGTGAGTCACAGCTGACTCAAGGGCACTTAACAACAGCATGACGCTTTAATCGATCATCATTTGGCAGCTGGTGATTTATACTTAATCCCAAACTTTGAAAGTGTTGTAGTAAGGACATAAGGGTCAAAATCAGAAGGATTTTCTCCATTTGAGTTTCTATGTCTTTTATTAAAGCACAACAAATGAAATAGGAATTAATTTAAGTGTGGTGTAAATTAGGTATAGAAGTGATTTGAAAAATTTAGGTAAACTTCACATTTCACTTGTCAAACTGTCCAATTGTTTAGTCAATGGATCAGAGTCATTTTTTAGGAACATTAACCTGATGACCAGAAATTTAGATTAATGTCAATTAAATGTTGAAACTCTACTAAAAGTAGAGATGTATGTCAACATTTTTTCCCCCAAAATTATGCAGAAAGGAAGGAAAGTGCTATTTTGGGGTTCCTACATATATAAGGGCCGGTGTGGTGCTGTGGATTAATGCGCTGGACTGCAAAGTTGTTTGAACTGCAAGGTTAGCAGTTCAAACTCACTAGCTGTGCCAGGAAAATCCTATACATGGTCGCTATGGGTTGGAATTTATTTGTATCTTTGCTGCCATATAGAATCCCATATATATATACAGATAGAGAGATAGATAGATAGATAGATAGATAGATAGATAGATAGATAGATATAGATAGATTCATTTATTTGTTGTTGTTGTTGTTGTTATATGCTGTGGAGTCAGTT